GTTTTTTCCCTGCTCCTATAGAGTGACCACATCCTGATCTGTCCTCTTGTGAAACTAAGGGGATTTCTCTAGATTTCTAGTTTGTTCCCTGCTCCTATAGAGTGACCACATACTGATCTGGCCTCTTGTGAAACTACGGGGATTTCTCTAGATTTCTAGCTTGTTGTCCAGGCTTTCCTGTTGAAGCCCGACTTCTCTGGACCAGTGTCCTTTTTAAGGGTTTGGGGAACACATGAAATTTGCTAAGGAGACTTGTGGTCGACCCTGGGTCCATTCAGATCGAGTAAATATTACAGATCATCCATACCCCCCCTCGGTCCTCCCCTTGCGCGTAACAGATAGGCTGAGGAAGGGGGATTGTCTATCACTCCTGTGGACCACTCTCTCCTGTATTCCTTGTGCATGGACGGGCATTTTAAGTAGCCGTACCGATGTTTTCTCTGGTGTTGAGATCAGGCTGTTATTCAGGTTATCCTGTAGGTTGTGGCATCCTTTCAAAATCTCCCTTGGTTTGCCGATTCTCTGCCATCTCTTCTCCGCGTCCTGTCATAGATGCTTGACTTGCCCCACTCCCTTTTCTACCCATGTTCCCCATTTGGTACCCTTTCTGGTCGAAGACGGGTTGCCGAAGAGGGGTTGAAGAGGGGTTGCTGGAGAATTTACCTCCATGTGGATTTCCTCACCTTGGCTGGCAGAATTTCTGGTCGAAGTCCGGGGCTTGGCGGTCGAAGTCCAGGGCTTGCCCTCTTGCTTGGTTGTGGATTTCCTCACCTTGGCTGGCAGAATTGTCACCAGGGCTTTTTTTTTTTTTTTTTTTTTTCAATTTTTGTGAAAAGCTCCAGTCTGTTGCTGGGGAGCAGCACCTTCTGGAAAAGGGATCCAGCGTCCCATTGTACAGCACAAGAACTGAGGCCGAAATCAATTGTTTCAACCTACACTTCCTCTATCCCTGTTGTTTGAGCTGCTGCCCCCTTCGTTGCCCAGGATTTGGGCTGGTCCAGAAGTTTCCCCGCATCTTTTTCGGCGGGTGTTTTGTATTTAGCTAGCGGCTGCATCTTTTTCGGGTGTTTTGTATTTAGCTAGCGGCTGTAAATCTGTGCAGTCCTAGCTTTATTCAGAGCAGGTTGTGATTAGTTATTATCTCGAGTATCCATTTGGTCTGCAATGCGTTGATCTGCGTTTCTGGATCCACGATCCCTAGACCACCACGTGCCTTCCTTGAGTATGACATATCTCCTTGCCACCTTTGAGATAATATTGGGTTTAGGCCCTTTAGGGGGATCACTGGACCAGAGGTGAGGTAGGCTGCAGCGCTCGTTCAGAACTGGGATCTTATCTGTTTTGCCGGACTCCATACTGTTGTTGCGTACCACAGCATTGAGAAGATTGATGCATTAAACTGTTGCGAGTACTTTTGAGTTTTGACCATTCCGTTCCCTTGCCGACCCTCTAAATGCACTGTGCGCTAGCGCAGGCGTTCTTTGTTTGGCTGGCGCCGCCAGCGATTTTGCTCTGGTAGCCCGGCGCTCGAAACTCGTGGCTGTATGCACGCCACTTTGGAGAAAAATGGCTGGGAAATGTACTGGTGGCACCAGTACTTGGCCCAGCTATCGATGCCAAGCCGGGATATCCCCTGCGCGCCAAGTTTTGCCGAGCCGCCGGGGCACCGTTTCGTTTTCATTTTGGCTGCCGCTTCCAGCCATTGCGGTTCGGTGCCCCGAAGCGCGCAATTACCGGTGCGTTAACGGGAATCGCCCGCAGCCGCTAGCTGGGTCAAGTACTGGTGGTTTCAAGTATAAGGGCTCTACTGAATAAGGAGGTGTAAGCCTCGGACCAACTGTCTAGTTTGGTTATCATTCTGTTCATTATTGCCTTGTTGCCGGAGCCATGGGATGATTGGGGCCCCTGTTTAGACAGACATCTGGATCCCCTAGAAACCGAGTGGCTCGTTGCCACGCGACCAATTGGTACCTTGGGGGGTGCTTTGTGGGGTGCCAGTTTGTGGGTTCGTGAGCCACATTTTGGGCCAGTTGATTTTCATTTCTGATGCTCTTTGGAATGCCTGCATTGCTCTCGTCGTTGGAGCTTGTTTCGAGTCTTTGACAGTTTTTTTTTTTTTAGTTTTTTTTTTTTGTGCGACGAGCAGCTATGAGGAGAATGTGCAGAATTTCTTGTTACCCTGCATGCATGCATTTTGTGGCTGTACACGTGATGGGAAAAGTTTTCTAAGTTCCTCATCTTCCTTTCTCTTCTTCTTTGTTTGCCTCCCTCTCAAGTGTGTTGTGGCTCGATCCTTACAGTTGGTGGATTGTCATTGAGTTGTCGTCAACACATTTTTGCTTGCTGGGGTAAGTTTCGTTGATTGCTGTGGCTAGCGGCTATTAGCACGATGCGCAGAATGTGTCTCGCTACGATATGCTTGCATGCATTGTGTGGGTGTCGGTGTGTGCTGGGAGCAGTTTGCAAAACAAGTGTCTGACCGGTGCCCTTGTTTTCTGTGGTTAGCGGCTATGAGCACGCTGCGCAGAATTTCTCATTACCATTCATGCATGCATGCATGCATTGTGTGGGTGTAGGTGTGCTGGGAGAAGTTCGCTCGATACTTTGAAGTGGAGCTGAGGGAGACAAAACTGCGCGAAGGGATGTATGTTATGGACCCGCATGAAGCTGTCGAACTGGTCGATGAAAACACCATATGCATCGCGGCCATCCTTGGGAGCACCTACAACGGAGAGTTCGAGGACGTCAAGTTGTTGAACGACTTGCTCGAGAAGAAAAACAAGGAGACTGGGTAAGCTGCGACTTGCATTGCATTTTATTACTGTGTGTGGCTTTGCCCTTGCCTTCCTCCCGGTCTTCTCTTCTGTTCTGCTCTTCCTCCTCTCCTCTCCTCTCCTCTCCTCTCCTCTCCTCTCCTCCGCTCTCCTCTGCTCTGCTCTCCTCTCCTCTCCTCTCCTCTCCTCTGCTCTGCTCTGGTCTCCTCTGCTCTCCTCTGCTCTCCTCTGCTTTCCTCTCCTCTCCTCTGCTCTCCTCTGCTCTCCTCTGCTCTTGTTGTTTTTGTCTGTGGGACAGAATCTTGGTATTGAAATCAGGGCCCTAATGACCTGACAGTGTGTGAATTAGAACAAGAAACAAAAAAATTGAAAAAAATGATATTGGAATCTCCATGTGTGGCTAAGGTGAAAGTATGTTCAGACTTCTGTCAGAGTCGTGGCGGATGTCTCAAACAAGCAGAACTGTTTTTAAACTGCCATTTTTTCAAAGTTGTGACTTGCATGCTGTTGCAGCCTTTTCGGGGCTCGGCCACCGGAGCGAAACGGCTGGCGGCGCCAACCAGGAGGCTCACGCGCTTCGTTCTTTTTGGAGCGCAGCGCGTTTCCAGCCGTGGAGAAAAGTGCATCGGAAGTACTCTCTGTGGTGGTTTAATGGTTTTGAATCTATGTTTTGGTGTTTGTGTGTACTCTCTAAATTGCAGCATATGCTTTTTACGATATCAGATTGTGATTTGGTTGCTATGGGTTCACTATTTAGACGTCAAATGATCAAACTTTGTTGATTTTATTTGCACATAGCATCGAAGACTTTTGTTTATTTGCACTTATTGCAGCTTGAAAAAAGAAGAAAAAAAAAAAATTATCTCATTTTAGGAAACTTTGTTTGTCTTTTCCTCTGGGATTTTCATTTCTTATATATTTCATTTTGTTGCTGTCGGATGGGCATGCATGCGGACGGATGGTTTTCAAATTCTGTTTGTGTGCGCAGGTACGAGGTCGCGATTCATGTGGATGCAGCAAGCGGGGGATTCGTTGCACCGTTTCTTTATCCAGAACTTGAGTGGGATTTCAGATTACCCCTTGTGAAGAGTATAAATGTGAGCGGGCACAAGTACGGACTCGTGTATGCGGGAGTGGGATGGGTGATATGGCGAAACCGGGCTGACCTTCCTGAGGAGCTCATCTTCCACGTAAATTATTTGGGAGCAGAGCAACCCACATTCACTCTCAATTTCTCTAAAGGTACGTCAATCCAGTTCAATATGTGACTGTAGTGGTTTTTTTTTTTTTTTTTTGTTTGTTTGTTTGAAAGCTCCTCGTGGTATTATGGTGGTGCACACATTTCTTTTATTTGCATCACTAAATGTTTGTGAACGTGCACTTTTTTTTTTTGGGATCAAAGCGTCCTACAGTGGGGAAGCGCGCGAAGTTTGGAACGTACTCGGTTTTTTTTTTTTTTTTTTTTTTTTTTTTTTTTTTTTTTTTTTTGAATGATAGCAGAATAGCAGTATTGTTTTCTGAGTCGTGTGTCGGAGTTGTGGCCAGATGTCTCACCCGGGTCGAGGTCCCACTTGCACGGATTACGAGATTTCGGCCATTGATCTCGGCTATCTACAGCCTCTTATCTCTTAATTCGTGCAAGTGGGACCTAGCCCCCGCCCGAATAGCATGCCCCGGTCAGTATAGCTGAATTTGGTGCAACTTGTGTCGGAGTTGCGGACAGACGTCTCACCCAAATAGAACGCCTGGTCAATCCGCATTTTATGTTAAATGCTAAACGTGGGGAAGCGCGTGAAGTTTGTGAACGTACATTGTTTTTTTTTTTTTTTTTAAATAATGATAGCAGGATTGTTTTCTGAGTCTTGTGTCAGAGTTGCAGCCAGATGTCGCACCCAAATAGAATGCCCGGTTAGTATAGCTAACTGTATTTGGTGCAACTTCCTAGTGTCGGAGTTGCGGCCAACGTTGAGTCTGAGTTCTGAAACCCTACCGTCTTCACCCAAATAGAACGCCCGTTCGTTATAGCTGTATGTTTGGTGAAACAGCTTCCTGACTGCGGTTTTCACCCGAATAGAACTTGTTCTGCCTGGTCATTACATCTGTATTTGGTGCAACTTTCAGTCTAGCTACGGTGATAATGACTGGGCGTTATATTTGGGTGAAGACGGTAGCGAGCGAGGGATGGAAGGTGACGAGGGCGAAGCTCCTTTCACGATCAGCCAGGGGAGGCAAGCCATCTATCTCAGCTGGTTGCGTTCAGCAGCTAGCCGTCTGCTGGGCGTCTGAATATGCATGCGCATCAGGACGTTTCCCATGGGTGGTCTGCTTGGTGTCTGATACTTCGTCTGCATGGGATATCCAAGCGTATCGGTTTCGCACTGGGAGGGAGTGGGAGATGGGTCGGATGGGCTGCCTTCGTTGGTGGAATCAGGCACACTGTTATCAACTTATTATATTACTGTATTACTGTATCTGGTGTAACTATCAGTCTCGATACATTACTGTACTTGGTGCAACTTTCAGCCTTGATACAGTGATAACGAGGTGCGTTCTGTTTGGATGAACAGTAGTTGTTGCGGGGATGCCTATAGGAGGGGCAGAACCCAGGGATGCTGAGATCTGCAGATGGAGCATAGGAGCATGAAGGATGGTTGTCAATAGGAGGGGCAGAAGCAAGCAGGCCAGGGATGCTGAGATCTGCAGATGGAGCAAGAAATATATAGCAGTGTGCTCTCTTCATGTTTGTCTTGTGTATTTTTGTCGTTTGTTTTGCAAAGTACTTTTTGATTTGACCCTTCCCTTGACGCCCCTCAAAATGCACTGTGCTCGAGCTCTGTTAGTCCATAGAAAGAAATGTGACACTACACAAATAGTACAATATATTAAGGTTGCATAGCTGCCAACCGCCGACCCCGATCGCTGACCGTTTTGCAGTCGACCAGTAGGGCTGACCGGTCGGCACCTACGGTTTACTGGCCAGCTCTGGACCGACGGGAGCCAGCCGACCCGGTGGTTGGTCGGCATTCGACCAGTCAAGGGGCGCCTACCGTCGGGGTATGCAACACGGTTTATCGTCAAACAGAACTGCACGGTAAAGCGAAGGTAAGGAGGGAGAAGAGGACAACAAACGAGGGGGCTTTGACGAACTGTTTCACCGGCTCATCAGGATATATATTATGTGTATATATATCCTTTTTCATACAATCATGAATAATATTACAGTACTGTATTAATTGTTAATACAATGGAAAAGGTACTATAGTCAAATTGCTGTCAACTTCGTGATATCGTTAGTGAAAGGGTCTGATAGTAGGGGAATGCTGAGGGAGCTGGCAGCAAACAGGTAGTAGGAGGGGGTCTGCTGGAAAGGTGGGTGCAGCTGGTGTCTACAAGGTTGACGGAGAGGGATAATGAAGTGAAAAGGAAACTTAAACCACCAGTACTTGGCCCAGCTATCGGCCGCGGAAAAAAATAGAGTAGAAATGTTTCTAGTTGGATGAATTTGGGCGCTCCTGTAGTGGCCCGTACGTTTCCTAAAATCGCCTAGCGTTAACGGGCACGACTTTGAAGTACTGGTGGTTTTAACTGTTCCCCCAAATAAGCCCAGTAGCAGCCGGGCCCATCAAGCAGAGTAAGGCTAATCAAGTTCTACAAAGGAAAATAATGATGCTGATGTTGATGTTGATGATGATGTTGATGATGATGATGATGATAATGGCAGGGATAATGATAGTGAAAATGAGCGACTTGGAGGGATAATGAAGTGAAAATGATCATGAAAATGATCACGATGATTGTGGTGGTATCTACAAGGATGGGTGATGACGATGACAGTTATTGTGGTAATGGTGATGTTGATGAGCACGAGGAAAGAATGTCTGATAATGGTTAATGTGGGCATCTGGCATCTGGCCTAGCTGTCAGTTGGTACACCCCCCGTGAGTTCGAACTCCACTGAGAACAGATGACTAAAGTACTTTTAATTCTGAACTACCAAAAAAAAAAAAGAAAAGAAAAAGAAAGAAAAAGAAAGAAGACATTGAATGATGACGAATAGGTATTCTCTTTTTGGCCTTGTTGTTGACGCAGGGGCGAGTCAGCTGATTGCACAGTACTATCAGTTCATCCGTCTGGGCTTTCAGGTGAGTGGAGAAGTCTATTATCAGGACTTGGACTTGTATTTGCTGTAAATTATTGTAGATGTTTATGTAGGTGCACTGCTAATGGTGCTATTGCTTTTTTATTTTGATTGTCTGGTTGTGATGCTAAATATAAAGCTAGCCGACATTCATGAGAAAAAAAAGAAGAAAAAAAAAAAGAATTACGTTATTTTGATTGTCTGGTTTTGATTGCATTTCTCGATTTATGTGCGTGTCATCCCTTTTGCAGGGGCCATGATAGTCTTCTCTGTTTCGTTCCAACGTCGATGGATGTCTTGAAGGAAATTTGAGAACGGTATCTTACATTTTTTGCGTTGATTGGTTTGTGACCTTGATTGGCCTTGCTCTGCATGATGGGCCCGGCTGCTACTGGGCTTATTTGGGAAAACTCCAGGGTTACAAGAACGTCATGGTGAACTGCAATGAGAATGCGCGCTACCTGAGGGAATGCTTGGAAGCGACAGGCCATTTTAAGATATTATCGAAGGAAAAGGGTGTGCCGCTTGTGGCCTTCTCGTTGAAGGACAGGTCGAAGCACAACGAATATGACATTGCAGACCAGCTTCGGTCATTCGGATGGATCGTACCTGCTTACCACATGGCACCGAACGCGCAGCATGTGTTCGTCCTTCGTGTGGTTGTGAGGGAGGACTTCTCTCGCACGCTCGCGGACAGGTTGGTGAACGACATTAGGAAAACGATGAAGTACCTGGAGGCGCACCCGATAGCCAGGCATTTCCCGCTGACGGTGACGGTGAAGAGCAGAGAGGAGTTCCAGTTCCCTACGGAGTTATGCGCAGAGATTGTGAACAAGGTGGCGAATGCGCTTCACATTGACGTTACGTTGAACGGCAATGAACCGGAAGACGATTTCGATTTCGGATCTGGCCGCAAGTCGATCGAATCCTCGTCATCGCCTCTTGCCTCTACGCTAGAAGAAAAAGCCGTCACGATCGCCCCTTTGAGCACGAAAGTCCCAGTCAGCCCTCTAGCAGTCATTGCCGGACGGAAAGTGACAACTGCGAAGCCTGCCGGTGTTTGTTAATGGTGGCCCGACACGACGAGCAACTCCCCGAGAGAAGGGCCGATGGAAGTGGTAAGCAGCCTTTGCGGCAGCCTTGTCGAGAACTCTTGTGTGTTGATGCGAAAGGCATGCCTTGAAAAGATGAATGACGAACTGTGTGCTGGGTTCTTGAAGTGGATGCACTTAAATTGAGGTGCCTCTTGGGGAAAAAAAAAAAAAAAAAAGTTGTAGCGCCTCTGAAAAAACACTGGAAATTTATGTACCACTTCAAAATACCACAAATTGCAATGTTGGTTCGAATATGGAACAACGTTCGAATACGGAATAACGTAGAAGGCGGGGTCACGTATGAATAAATGAAATAAAAAATTTAGCTCAGCTGGTACATCCATGAACTGTTGAAATGAGTTTGAAACCAGATAGACCTTGATAAATGAAAAAAAAAAAAAAATCGGAACCTAAAAAAAAAAAAGAAAAAAAGAAAATCGAAGTTACCTGGGGCTGCCTATGATGTCGATGATAGTAAATTCTCAAGGCCATTAGCCTTTTTTGAAAAAACAAGCAAAACAAACGATGTCAGGGTGGTCACATTGCTATGTTCGTTGGGTTTCTTTAACTCTGGATGAATGTAGAAGGCGTGGCCGCATGTTGTCTGAGGCACAGTCGGACAGTCCTTCCGCGTTATCCCTCGGAGGACGCACGCACGCATGAAGAAAGGGATATAACGGATTGATTGTGCATCATGTTGGTTGCTATATGCAACCAAAACGGTTTCGTTGTTGCGTCGGGTCATCTTTAGTGTGTTTCATTGTCTGCAAGCATAGAGGTGAAAGCTGGTTGGCATTAACCATGGCATTAGCCAGCTAGTTGGAAACTCCTTATTTAGGTGGAAAAGGCGGTTTTATCATTTTATGGGTGCGCTTCACATTGATGTTACGTCGAAGGGCAACAAACCGGAAGAGTAGGATTTGGACTTCGGATCTGGCTGCAAGTCGATTGAATCCTCATCGCCTCTTGCCTCTACGCTAGAAGAAAATGCCGTCACGATGGCCACTGTGAGGTGAAGCTGTATTCTGCAGAAGCAGGACCATACAAAGGTCAGGAGCTGGTTGGCATTAACCAGCTAGTTGGAACCCCTTATCTTGGGCGAAAAGGTGGTTTTATTGGTTGGGGGGTATCTAGAATAGCAGTAAATCCGAGAAGCCAGGCTTTGTTCCCGTTAAAAGTCTGTCACAGCCATAAAACCTACTTTTCACGATACGCAACAGTCGGGCGTTTGGACTGCATCGCAGGGGACTACCGTCGGGAACTACCGTAGCAACTGTTACCTCCAGCACCCGACTTCATAAGGTTTGGTCGCATACATGCCATCAGAGGCAGCCCTTTTTTTTTTTTTTTTTTTTTTGTGTGTGTGTGTGTGTGTGTGTGTGTGCGTGTTGTCATGTTCCGTATGCACAACTCGTCAATAAAAAATCAT